GGCTGTTAATTGCATGCCATTTTACAGCCATACACATATCACTTCTTGGTATACTTTCCTGAAATATGTACAACAGATAATAGAAATGTGTTTGTTTAACTTTAAGAATATAATGTCTATTTTCCCTATAGGTCCAGACTTCTAGAACACCCTGTATAATAGACAACAATGAACAATTTCTAATATTTTCCAAAAACTCCCACAAATGGAATATTTAAAAATAAATATTACATTCTGGTTTCTGCAAACCTAAAACCTTATTTTCACAGTACAACCAAGAAGTTTTTAAAAGGCGTTTCTCACATACCTCTTTCAAAATAATACTTTTAATCTTCTGAAACAAAATTCATAATCATCTACGTAACCCAATAACACTCATGATTGTTTGTGTAGTAGTTCATTATAGTAGTTCATAACAAAAATTTTGTTAGATGTTTAACAAATTAAGGGTTTTATATCTTCCAATGCTCAATCTGTAATAGTTCCAACATCTTTAAAATTATTATAAGGGAATTTATCTCCTGAAAAATTCTTTGATGCTAAGACTTAATTATGTTTTACAAAATTTAAAATTGCAGTTGCTGTCATACATCAAAATTATTTTTAATAGAACAGAACAAATAATTTGGGATTTACATATACACTGAAAGTTTCAATTTTCAATAGATAATTTGTATTTCCAACATTGAACTGCAACATCATATATTTATATTTTTTGTTCTATGTAATTTACAGCAGTTTATTTCCTTTTTGTTTTAAAGAAAAGCTCTCCACCACAGAGAATCAAACCCTGGATTTTAGCTTTGTAATTCTGTGATCTTACCACTGAACTACTTAAGGACAGTTTATTTTTCCTAAACCTATGAATATTAAGTGTTGAGTCAAAATTCTACTGTTTAGTTTTGTTTTTTACAATAATTGCTCCATTTATAACTTTCAGCCTTTATTTTGGTCAACAACAAAAATTTTTAAAGCAACAAGATAGGGGTGTTTGATGTATTGTATTTGTTGAAGTGGGCACAAACATTTCAGTGCTACATGCCCTTTATTAAGGTTCTGATTCATCTCTTACTTCATCTTAAATGAGGTTATCCAAGTCATGAGAAACCTACGTGGCATAGCCTAAGCCTAACTTATTTTCTTGCGGCTTTTACTCTTACAGAAGATGACCTGAGGCTTTGTTGTCTGAAAGTTTCAGAGATAGGCCTTGTACAGCTTAGATCAGTTTAATCATACTTAGATTAATTATTTATAGCATTTATCTTTATTAAAACCCACATGTAAAGGAATTTGAGCCTACAAAATAAAGTTAGATAAAACAGATTTCTTTTTCTCAATTTATTATATTATATTTATTGCTAAGAAAGACCAAAATCGGCCTTTTGGGTGAACTAAGCTCAAAGAGAAAGGGTTAAAGTGGGGTTAGTGATGTATTGTCTGATTATGGTGAAGTTCACGTTAAAATGCATTTAGATGTTCGAAGAGAGTATTTAATTAGAATAGGAGGGCTAGGGTTAGAGTTAGGTTTACCATTCTACCACAGCCTAGTTGTGAATAATAACTGTTTACAATGTGTGGTTTTACTATGTACTATGTTCAATCAGTAGCAAAGGACACTGACTGTGAGATTAAAAAAAGTTAGCCTTATATAGGTATTTTTCACAGAGGTCTTTGCCAGTTGACTGTGTGGATATGTAACATAGCAACAGTAAATGTGCAATGTTACTTTGTGAACGACTTTACGTGACAATGAGTATCGCAAGTCCAGAATCATGGGTCTTGAATCAAAAAGACAAGGTCAACGATTGCTAGAAAATCAGGGACAGTGAGATGGATAATCACAATACAAACTAAGCTTTAGTCATAGTTTCTGTTAACAGATCTACTTACTATCACAATGACTGGTGAGAGAGTTTATATGTACTAGTAAGTCTCTTATTTTGGATTACAACATCATTATGCCCCAGTTAAAGTTTTATTTATGGTTGCATTAATTAAAATTACATTTTTATAACATATAAGGCCCCTAAACAAGCCTGGGGTATACAAGTAAAACATCTCTCTCACTGTATAAAGTAAAAAGTCTCTCACTGTATGTAGGGCTAATTAGTAATATTTTACACATTTAGGTTTGGCATGTAGGCCTAGATTAGGCATACATAGGTGGTATAATAATACATCGGGGCCCAGGGGCTAAACCTATGCATAGCATATGAATTTTTTATGAAATCCTCACACTACCCCTGGGTGATAGACAGTAAAGATCCATACAAGATCACGAAATGGGACTTGAGCAATGACATGACAAAATGGCCAGAAGTCACATATATAGAGGTAGTCAATTATTTATTTTACTCACAGTGTACTTATATATTACAGGAATTGAAAGCATACAAGTCTTTTCAATCATAGAGTTATTTGTGGATGGGTGCTAAACACAGTACAGATAGTAGTAAACAACAAGTGCATATTTCTGGAAAAGTGAAGCATTCTCAAAGGATGAATAACACATTTGTTTCCACGGTTGATATATGAAAATGATGGAACTGTAATTTTTGGACACTGCATTTGCATGGCAGGTATAGCAGAAGTTTGTTCCCATGTAGGTGCCCTAATGTTTGCTGTAAGAAATTCCAAAACTGTAACTGAAAAAGTCTTACTGGCTACCAACAGTTGTACCAAAGGTAAATCTCTTTACCAGCTTATGACTATATATTATTATTAAAATGACCCATGGCTGTATTTGTATACATATCTTTAATAAACTAAATAACAAAGTAAAAACTAAGGATCCCTACTGCAGTACTTCACAACAAAACTTTGTTAATAAGCATTTTATTTTCTATTTATTTATTTTTGGTAGAAAAAACTTCACGAATTATAATCACAAATAAACTAAAGATCTGAATTAAATAACAAATAATGATCCAGATCTTTTCCATTTTATTTTAAGGTTCAATACAAGACTTCACTGCTACTAAAACAAAGAAAATACAAATAGATACAACAGTTAGTGGGTCAGCAAAAACACCCAGCATTAAGCAGAAGAAGCTTCCTAATACCAACAAGTCTACCACAAAAAAAAACTGTCACAACTCTTTTCTGCCCATGCTGCTTTTGGAAACAGACCTATGATATTGTCATTAGTTCCAGGATTTGTAAGCAAATTTAGAACTCGAACATTAGACAAAATATACCCAAAAGTGTTATCAGAATTATATGATGAGAATTACTCATCTGTTAATAAGGATATCTTTAAAAAACACTGCAACAAAATTTTTGACAGATTACACATGACTCCTGAAGAATGATTTGCAAACTGTGAGAATGATACAAATGCACAAGCAAATAATAAAGAGTGGTTTAGTTTTAAAATTGGAGGGATCACAGCTTCTCAAGTTAAGGCTGTTTGCTGCACATCAGTAGACAATCCATCAAAGAACTTGATCAAAGATATTTGCTACCCTGCATCAAAATCCTTTACTGCTAAACAAACAATGTGGGGTTATGACCATGAAAATGATGCCAAGAAATGGTACATCAACACTATGATGGAAGAGCATGAGAATTTCTCCTGTTGGGATAGTGGCCTCATAATTCATCCCAGTTATCCAACATGGGTGTGACACCTGATGGGGTTGGATGTTGTGAAGAAGCATTAACAGAAAATAAGAGCCCATATTGTAAAAGAGATTCACAGATATCTGTTGGGTGCCTGGAAAATCACAGTGGTAAATTGTTTTTGAAAAGGTCATATGCTTATTATCATCAGATACAGTGTCTGTTACTGTTGTGTGAAAAGTAGTTTTGTGATTTCATTGTATGGACAAGTGTCAACTTTTTCTCAGAACGCATTGCAATCAATTTAAATTTCTGTCAGAACATGGTGGAGAACTGGAGAAAAATGTTATCATTCTTTTGGTTTTAGTGTATGGTGGTGGACAGAAATAAAGCTGTCTAGGGCCCGATATTGTAAAAGGAAAAAGAACAAACAAAGCAAGAAGGTTCCTTTCTCAAATATCTCCACCCATAAAGTACAAATGAGGGTTACTCAAATTATGTACCCAGCACCGAACCTGGCCCATCAACCTCTCTCTCAGTTGAGCCACAATAACAAGTTTGCAAAGAGTCAGGGGAGCATAATCAGGAAATTGTGATATCTGTTAATCAAGAGAAGCATGACAACAATTTAACCACCATCTCAATAACTTCAAACTATTCTCATCCTGCTACATGGTCCCAAGGAATGAAGTTAGAGAGATCTTAGTCAAGCATGGACCAGAACAAATTAAGCAGCATAATTTTCTGAAAGATTCTAATGGAAGGAAATTTTCCACACTCTGTTACAAATGTCAGCTCCCAAATAGAGAAAAGATGCACCACCACTGGTAACAATACTTTGTGTAAAAGGATTGTGTAATTTGCTTTTGTTGCAAACAGTCTGGCATTACAATGGGTACTACTCTCTTTGACAGAGGTTTCAAGGATTGGAAAAACATTGCTGCAATTCTATTGGCACATGAGAGTAGTGGAGAACATCTAGAAAATTTTCAAAAATGGAAAGAACTTGAAATGTGTTTTACAAACAAGAAGAAAAAGTATTGGCAAGATGTTTTAGAATTACTTATCACATTAGTGAGAATCCCAGGTATGCAAAATGTGGCTTTTTGAGGTACACATGAGAGATTACATGTTCCTGGTAATGGAAACTTTCTAACGTTCATATAATATTTATCTCTGTTTGACTCAGTTATGGCCGAATGTCTTTGCAGGATTAAAGACCAAGAAACATATTGTTACACAGTAGTGTTAATACTAAACAATAATACTGTAATGGTTCGACGTAAATCATAATGTTTTTAATATTGAACTTAATACCTGGTCAGAATCCTTAGCATAATTAAAATGATTGATTCTCCTGAACTACAGAAAAGCTATTGAATATTTTATAACACTCATGACTTAGGCCTAGAAATCTATAAGTGCTGAAAATTTCTGGACTGCAGATTGGAGATCAGCAAACTTACTTGAATCAAATGTTACAGAGAGGATGTGATCACATTCACATATGGAAGATTTTACAGTCTAAAAGTTTCTAGAGTTCTATGATAGTATATAAATGTCACTAAGGATGGTGTGGAGTCACTATGTTTTCCATAGACCTAACCAACTGCCAAACATCATCATGCTCGAGCTATTAGAAACCTTGGATTTGCGTGTGTGATGGTTAGAAAAGGTCTAATTCTGAACAGGTCAGTTAATTTTTAGTATTTTTATGATTTTGTCAATATTGTTAGATTAATAATTATGTAAATATTGTCATGTAAAATTATTCTTATCGTGATTTAATAAATTTGTGAATACATATTATTGTACATTGGCTCTGTTTTGTCTGTTGGTTTCATGATTGGTAATTTCTACAGTAACATAAATTAATATAATTAATCATTGTTTATTGATAAATTGTAAATTAAAGTGAACTGGAGAAAGCAGGAAGTTAGGAGTTTTGTGGTTAAATGTTTAGTTGAAGAAAAGGTGCTTGGTGAAGATACACTGGAGTTAGTAGATGAGGGCAAAACAGATGCAATTGAATTTAAAAAATTAGAACTAGAATATCAGCTAGGGTTAAAAGAGCTAGAATTGAAAGAGAAAAAGAACAAAGAATTAAAACTGAAGCAGAAAGAATTAGAAATGCAGATTAAATTAAAGGAAATAGAATTATCTAGTAAGTCAAACTCCACCACACCAACATCATCTAGTAGTAGCAATTTTGAATGCAGCCAGAAATGTGTGACTAGTGCCAAAATTCCAGGAAAAAAGAAGCAAATAAATACATCTTACATTTTGAAAAAGTTGCCATTAGTCTTAAATGACCAAAAGATGTTTGGACTGCTATTACAGATGTGCTGATTGGTAAAAGCCAGGGAAATATTTTGGGGACTTTTACTACAACAAAGTAGTGACTATGATACTGTTAAACAAGCAATTTTTAAGGCTTATGAGTTCGTGCCAGAAGCTTAAAGGCAGAAATTTAGAAAATCCAAGAAACAGGAAGACCAAACACAAGTGGAATTTGCAGGAGAGAAGGAACAACTGTTTGACAGATGGCTATTATCTAAGAAAATAGATAAACATTTTTGCCAGCTGAAGCAGCTTATTTTGATAGAGGAATTTTGGCAGTGTATCCACCTGGAAATAAGAACATACTTTGATGAGCACAAGTTTGAATACTAAAGCCAAGCAGCAACAATGGTGGATGACTATGCTTTTACACATGTCAGGATTACTTCAGCAGGTTATAGATAAGTTAGGGATTAAATAAATAACACAAGGTAATTTCAAACATACACAATTTTTTTTTTCTCACAGAAAGATGGAGTTAGTATGGGTTCTTGTTTGGCCCTATATTGGCTAATGTATTTATGTGTTTTAATGAACAGAAATGGTTAGAAAAATGCCCAAATAAAATTAAACCAATAGTGTATAAAAGATATGTGGATGACACATATACGGTATTTGAAAGTGAAGAACAAGTAGATATTTTTTTGAATTATCTGAATAAACAGCATAATAACATTAAATTCATGTTAGAAAAAGAAAGAGATTGTATGCTAATATTTTTAAACACTTCAGTTAAGAAAAAAGATGATAAATTTGAAATTGCAATTTATCATAAACCTACATTTTTGGGGTTGTACTTCAACTATAATAGTTTTATACCTAATAAGTTCAAAGAGAATCTAATCAGAATTCTCATATATTGAGCTCATAAGCTATGTAGTAATGTTGAACTGTTTAAAAATTAAGTGGAAAACATAAAACATTATTATATGTTTGAATGACTTCCCAATAAAAGTTTTAACATGAGTTATCAACAATTATATCCACAAAGTGGCCACCCCTAAGAAAGACAAAGATAAGGTTCCAAAAAATATTATGTATATGACAATACCATTTACTGGAACACATGCTTTGAAAATCAAGAAAAATATAAAGAACTTCCTTTGTAATGTTTACCCACAAGTTGAATTACGTGTAGTACTCGAACCAGTATACAGAATAAGAAACTATTTTGTATTCAAAGACAGAATATGCAAAGTGGACCGATCAAATTTCATCTACAGATATCATAAGCAATAGTGTGTATATAGGGTCGATGATGAGGAGGCTTAGTGATTGAGTTAAAGAACACAGTGTGCCAAGGTATGCAGAATTCTCAAACATTTTACAACATAAAGAGGAATGCAAGTATAAAAACTGAATAATTCCAAATTATCAGAAAGGCTGAAAATGAGCAGTGGCCATAAAGAACTTAGCACCTGAACTAAACAGGAAATCCAGCACCGGTGAGCTGATGTTAAAAATGTGAAAAGAAAGAAAAAAATTTTTGTAAGTTAGGGATTAAGCACTACAAATCTAGTGCTTATCATACAGAATCCCAAGGGGCTCTGGAATGCTTCCATCGAACACTGAAAAAATATGATTCGGAAACATTGTTTGGAATTTCAGAAAGATTGGGATGATGGGGTCCATTTAATTCTGTTTGCTGCCCAAGAAGCTTTTCAGAAGTCGCTTGGTTTTAGCCCTTTTGAGCTTGTATTTGGTCATTCAATACGGGGACTACAGAAACTGCTGAAATAGAATTGGCTTTGTGAAAATGCCAACATGAATCTGCTTGATTATGTATCAGGTTTTAGGCATAAGCTTATGAGAGCAGTTGAAATTCCTAATGAAAATCTCAAGAAAAGCCAAAGCAGAATGAAGTGTGTGCATGATAAGCATGCAAAGAAAAGGGTTTTTAAGCCAGATGATAAGGTTCTTGCTTTGTTGCCTGTTCCAGGTCATGCCTTAAAAGCTTGGTGTCTTGGTCCTTATGAAATTGAGTCCAAGGTCAGTGACTTAGATTATATTGTTAAAACTCCAAGGCAGCGGAAACAAAAACAAGTATGTCATATCAATATGTTGAAAGAATACATTGAGAGTGAGAGGACTCTCAAATTGTTAAGTCACTTGCCACCTTAGTCATTGCCCACAAAAGTGACCAGATTGAAAAAGTTCAAAGTTATGAAAATAATGAGTCGTGGAGGAATCAGAATATACAATACAATGTTAAACTGAAAATTTCAGATGTACTTTCAGACTCAGTTTCAAAATTGTGTCATCTGACTAGTACTCAACAAGAGGAATTTAAATCTTAATTTAGAAGTCTGTAAATTTGTTTCCTGATGTGCCAAACAGAACTGACCTCGTTAGTCACGATGTAGATGTTGGTGATGCCACTCTTATTAAACAACATCCATACCATGCTAATCCTGTGAAACTGGAATACATGAAAAGTGAAGTCAAGTACATGTTGGAGATTAGCATCATTAAGAAAGTAATAGTGAATGGAGCTCACCATGTGTCTTAATACCCAAGCCAGACAAGTCTTACAGGTTTTGTATCGATTTCAGAAAGGTTAATGCTGTAACAAAGAGTGACTCTTATCTAATTCCTAGGATCATGGGCGAATTGGGCTGTCTGGCAACTGGGCAGCTGCCTGGTTGGCCGGTAGGTCTAGGGCCAGTCCAGTTGTAGTGAAATTTTTTGTGTATTTTATTTTCCCAATATTATCTTATCACACTGCTTCATGTGTAAAGATGTGCAGCATAATTGATCTCCTTTAAAAAAAAACACCTCATCAAAGAACAACAACAAGACAACTGGCAAAACTTCTGCACATCAATAGACACCAATTGAACCAACCCTGCACTATCCTGGAAAAAAATTTAAAACCATCTGTAAGACAACACAACCCACATTCATCACACAATCACACATGACAACAAATCTGTCACAACCAATGACGAAAAAGCGAACCTTTTCCACAAATTCTACAAACTACCTTCACCACGCCAGACTCACAGTCATTTGACCAGATACACCTCACTAATATCAACAAATACATTAAGGAAAACAAAAACACCTTCACCCCTAACTTCAACACAACCATCAAACCGACATCAACACAAACAAACCCCAACATTGACAGACCAATCTCGATTCCTGAACTCAAAATTAACATTAAACAACTCAAAAACACAGCCCCTGGCAACAACGGCATAGATAACATCTTAAAAAATGCATTGCACACCCTACTACAACATCTCTGTACAGCATACAATCTGTCTCTCAAATCCGGTTACTATACCCTACAGCATGGAAATCTACCACAATAACCATAATCCCAAAGGAAAGTGTTAACCTTAACGACCCCACTAACTATAGACCAATTAGCTTAATAAACTGTCTAGGGAAACTACTGGAAAAAATCATCACAGCCAGATTCCTTCATCACTTGGAAACAAACAAACTCCTATCAGACACATAGAACACATCCAGAAAATGCAGACAGACAACTAACCACTTATTCAGATTGACTGAAATTGTTTACCGAGGTTTCAACAACAACCACGCCACACTAGCCACTTTCTTAGATGTCAAAAAAGCATTTGACAGCGTGTGTGAAGCATGCTGTATATTTGTCTTCCTTAATTTTATTGTAGCCACAAGGTACAAAATCACTAATGCTAGACAAGTAAACAGTAAAGTTGCTATCACTAGGCACAGAATCAATCTCTCGTAATTATTCAATAGGAATTTCATTTGTCAAATTGTTGTCTTGTGTTTTACCTGTTTTATTCATCACCAGAAATCTCTGTAGTAGATTCATCTCTTATTTCCATTGAATCACTTTGACTAAGAACCCTGTTATTTATAATCCACTGAAATTGGCAAACACTACATAAGCAGATGTACTTGTTATGTTGACACGTCTTGTAGGCTGAACAGCAGACAGTCATATACATTTTCATTTCCACTACTGTACTGGCACGTGTTCAGTGTTTATAAAGGTAAGCAGGTTATTCTACCTGTTAGAGGAATTATGATGTCCTTCACAGATGAACATCATGTGTCTAACTAAATTGTCTATCTTTTTTTCTTTTCTCTTATATTTCCACACCTTTATATGTCTTCAGGTGTGGTTGAAGTTATGATGAGACAAGTGATATATAGATCATCTAACTTGAGATCATTAAATTCTTTTGGGAGAAAAAATAACTTTGAACATTGAGCTTTCTTTAAAGCAGCAACCCATAATTTGTTGTGCTGTTTTGTCGTGTATGCTGTGAAAATCGTACAGAAAACCAAACACGGAATTATGTTGGTGCAGCTGTGTGAATCACTACTCAACTTTGAACCTTTCCTTACAACTCTAGATAGGATCATCAACTCCTTCATATGAAAAGTTTTTTCCTCGTCTGCTACGGATCAAACTCTGCTGCTATTTCAAGTTAACGGGCGTCAGCTAGCTCTTTCTCTAGGCCTGCATCACTCCTGTTGCCCTCAGTTGTTTCATATTGAGGTCCTTTGCCTAGAGTTGTTTACTCAATAGGTTTATCGAGAATAAAAGTTCATACCAGATGACAAGTGAAGCAACAAACTTGAACTTAGAAATGCCATTGGCAAGACCATGTGCACCTACACATGGAGTATTGCCAGATGAACCTGTCAAAGTATGATCATCAGCAGTCTCCATCATTACATCATATATCTCACCCAACTGATACTGAAGAGGTTTCAGTGCGACCACACAACTTTTTGATCGGCAATGACATTTCAGCCAATTGATGAAGGATTGTGTCTCATTCGAAAACCAGTTTTCTCCTTGAGTGGCATAAACCCTAAGAAGCGTTCTTTTATACCTACCAGATCACAATGATCAGAATCTGGCTTTATTTCAACAAATACAATGATCATGGTCATCTGTTCAACGTGTCTGATATCTGGCGTGCAATCTAGAATGATCAAAAAATACATTGCATCATTATCAGATGTTAGAATTACTTTCTTGATGGTATTTACTAGAAGCTGGATGAATTTATTTTGTATTTCTTTACCAAGATAGTGCACATATGTGTTACAGTAGAAATTACCGATCTTGAAACCAACAAATAAGACAGAGCCAATTTACAATAATAATTATTCATAAATTTATTAAATCACAATAAGAATAATCTTACAGTGACAATATTTACACAATTATTAATCTAACAATACTTACACAATTGTGAAACAATATTGACAAAATCATAAAAATACTAAAAATTAACTGACCTGTTCAGAATTAGACCTTTTCTAACCATCACACACAAATCCAAGTTTTCTAATAGCTCGAGCATGATGATGTTTGGCAGTTGGTTAGGTCTATGGAAAACATAGTAACTCCACACCATCCTTAGTGACATTTATATACTATCTTAGAACTCAAGGAACTACAAGACTGTAAAAACTTCTACACTTGAATGTGATCACATCCTCTCTGTAAAATTTGATTCAAGTAAGTTTGCTGATCTCCAATCTGCTGTCCAGAAATTTTCAGCACTTATAGATTTCTAGGCCTAAGTTACGAGTGTTATAAAATATTCAATAACTTTTCTGTAGTTCAGGAGAATCAATCATATTAATTATGCTAAGGATTCTGACCAAGTTTATTTGACTTTTAAATTCTGACCAGGTATTAAGTTCAATTTTAAAAACATTACGAGTTATGTCTGACCATTAAAGTATTATTATATATTATTAACAATACTACATAACACCTATACATTGAGTAGGACTCAGAAGAGGAAAACACATTAAAGTACTCTTTGAAACAAGGCGCAAGGTACAAAAACAATTATAGAAACTCCTTTAAATAGAATTTCATATATATATATATTCAGAATTGCTTCTACAGGAAAAATATATGGAATGGTAATTGGAAATTCATTCAGGCAATCCTCCAACTGTTTCAAGAGGAGGAAGAGTCCCATGTTGCAGATACACAGTATGGATGAGGACAGAGAGGACAGGAGGAAGTGGATTGGAGTTACACAGAGGAGGAAGTAAACAGAATTCATCAATATCACAGATTTCTAGAAACAATTCAGAGATTTGCAAAAAAATCACCTAACAATAATATCAAACGGGAAGTACTGTGCAATAGTACTAACAAATGTGAGCAACCGCAAATGGAGAGAGGAGATATTTCAAAGCCTGATACTTTTCCCTTACAATACAGAAGGATATCAATCAATGAGGACAATAATTCAGATCAATACTCCCCATGAGAATGCAGAAGTGTACCACAACAATAATACCAGAAATGATAGAGACAATATTATGGAGGAGGGAAAACAGAATGAACAGATTAATAATAATAATGCTAGACCCAATGAGCATAAATTTGCTATGGAACAATAAGAGAATGATAATAATGTTACACCAATTAGCATTACAAAATGGAGACCCACTACATTAATCCCCCCCCCAAAAAAAGAGAACCACTTAAAAAAATTATACAGATTATGAAGGAAAAACGTCAGACCATCTGACTCGCGTACCCCACAAATCTACATAAACCTAATTATCCTCTAAGACCTATTGTATCAGCCTTTGGGGCATTTAATTTCAACTTAGGCAAATATCTAGCATGGATATTTTCTCCTTATATCAGCAGTGCCTTGTCTTTTATAAAAAAACTCTGAAGAATTTGTCAACAAACTTAAACATTTTGACCCACTTTCCATTCTTGTCAGTTTTGATGTAAAAAGCTTATTTACACAAGTACCTGTTTCTGAAGTCATCAGTCATGCTCTTGAATGTTTCAATAACAAACCTTCTCCAAGATGTTTACTCTCTTCTGAAATTTTGAAAAACTGTATATTTTGCAACTTCCAATTTGAAGGCCTAAATTACGATCAAACAAAAAATTAAGTATGGGAAATCCTATTGCCCCCATTCTCGCAAACATTTTTATGATTATAATTGAACAACAAACTATTTCAACTTTCCTTCATCCACCTATTTTCTGGGTAAGATATGTGGATGATATTTTTCTGGATTCCAGGATTCATCATCCATTGAAAATTTTTTACCATACCTGAACCTAATCCATCCTTATACTCAATTTACGATGGAATATGAAGAAGATCACACACTTCTGTTCCTGAATGTTCTTGTCAAAAGACAGGACGAAACTTTCCACCCCTTCACTTATCACAAAATCACTCATACTGGCTTACACGTACCCTAGAACTCTTACCACGATCCTTCACAAAATTAGGCATAATAAAAACTATCATTCAGTGAAGACAATCTGCTCCAGCAAAAAACATTTACAGTCAGATCTCAAAGTGCTGAAAAATTAATTAACAGTCCAGAACGATTTCCCACTACAATCCATAAACAAAGTAATCTCAATGCTAGAAAAGAAAAAATCAGAAGCCCACGACAAGTCAGTTATAGAGGAACATCCCATTTATTGCATAATTCCCTTTATCCCAAAGGTTTCACATTGCACCAGAATGTATTGGAAAAATAATTGTGAAAAAATATTATATTAATTTACGGGTACAATTTGTGTTTCTTCCAAGCAGAAAATTAGATCCAATTTTATCAAAAAAATACAAAGATACTGATACATCCTGTTCCATATACCAAATAAAGTGTGAAAATTGCAATGAAACTTACATTGGAGAAACCTACAGAAACCTACCCATGTTAAAGAACATTATAAACTGCCTTCTCATGTCCATATGTCTAAATATGGTCATTTATGTAATCTTGATAATGTTAAAATTCTTAGCAGAGAAAAAAATATATACCATCATAAAATTAAGGAAGCCTTGCTTATAAAACAGTTTATGCCTAAAATAAATAAGTATTCTGGCACACAGTTGTATCTATTCTAACTTTAACTTAACTATGTTGATGTTCAAAAAGGTATTTTTTTTATATTATTTTCTGTGAATCACTTTACCTCTATTTGCAATTTTCAAGTTACAGTATTTAATTTATAAATTTTGTTGTTATAATATTTTACATTTTTAAAAGATTACTTATATTCTCCTATTTTCTTGATTACGGACATTGACCCCCAAGAAGTCAAGCCCTGTCAATAAAACACCCTCCAGAAATATCATATCTTTCTGTTAAATTTACCCAATCAGAGTTCAATGTACCCTTGCGCTGTATTATATATATATATATTTGTAGTTTTAATTCATTCATTGTAGTTGACATACCTGTTGATGCCAGGTTAACCTGGTGAAACATTGTACTTTCATTAAATTTTACTCTGTTTATCCGATTTATCAAATTTCCTTTTAATTACAACAGAGTACTTCCTTTCATCGTATAAGAAAAACCTGTTGGGCTTTCTACTCTGTCAATAGAACATGAAATGGCTGAGAAACTGGACTTGAAACTTGTTCGCACATTTGCAGGAACAAAAGCACGAAAAGTAAAATTTTGATGGACCTGAACTTCATGGGTCATGATATATATAATGCATAAAATCAAGTAAATTATGTTTACAATAACTTTGCTTGTAAAATAAGTCTATTTACTCTAATATTAATGTAGTTGACTATTTTTCTTTTTTTATACATAAACATCACAATTAAACATAAAGTCATCTGAATATATTTGTATTTAATTAATATTAAAAATAAATCACAGTATTTTTCTAAATCGTATTTAATTGACATTATTTAGCTTTTACATAAAATTTCAATTTTTTTAAATGCAGTGTAATTATAATAAAATTTTAAGCTTTATTTTGAAGTAATCAATGAAAAACAAACATAATGTAACCATGTAGCTAGCTTCTTTAACCTATTATTATTATTACAGTATTAAATCATTTTATTATTGTTATATACAAGCAGTGAAAAAAAAAGGGATACAATTTATGTTTATATATTATTTTCAAAGAACCTAAAGAAATGAAAGAAAAAATGTGTAACAAATATTTTTTAACCTTAGTATCCATATCTGTTAACGAATAATTGCTGTAGCTGTAGCACAATGTTGTACCAGTAGCAGAAAATTGAATCACCACCAACTGAACTATTGATACAATATTGTATGCTATATATTATAAGCCACTGTTCCTGTATTCAGCAAGCAGTCATAACTGCAGAGCTCAGTAAGACTGGCACTGACCATAGTACTCCCCAGGTCATAAGGCTTGTTAATCCGTGGCAGGTGTGGACCTCACTTCGGCCAACTAGGGGGTATTCCTCCTGGTCAATTGCCTAGCTTATCTGGGGTCTGATGTGGTTGATAGGTTACTGCTAATTATTGATCACTTGGTGGAAATGTTCAGAGGCCAACCCATCTATACAATCTTAAAGGTTCTTTAATACTACTAAGTTATATTGACAGTCTTTACATCAAGTTCCGTGTTTGACAGAACTATACATACTATTTTTTTTTATAGTAAATAACAAATGAGAGCATTGTAAATCATTCTTATTATTTCGTTGTAGATTTATAATTATAGTGTACATAATTTAGGTAAACCTAAATAACATCTTATGAAGGTTAAGTGCTATACACCGCAGACAAGCATATTCTTAAAAATGACAAAAAGTCTAAAAACTTGTTTGTAATTCCATCTGTGTTTCATATGTAACTATAGATGTATGGTAATACAGTTCTCTCATGCCTCGAAAGAGGTAAATTGTCGAAAATATTATTATTATACATATTATATGATTAACAGAAATTTGTGTTTTATTGACATTTTATTCACTGACTTTCTGTGATAATAATGATGAAAATGTACATGTCATCAATGGTTTTTCAAGTTGCAGAAATAATATAGTAATAGAGTTCTTACATTATCTTATCAAAACTTATTGGGCGAGGGCGTGCATTGAAGAACTTGCCTAGGGCACCAAATACCTTGGCGGCGGCCCTGGCTACTGTGAGATGTCAGTACAGTTTCTAGTATCCAAGTTAGAGCCAAAAAAATTTAATTTGATAAAGGACTCAATCCATTCACCTATAAAAACACAACACATTTTATTCTAAAACAAAATCAACTCTCAACAGTGTTTGGCTACAAAGATGTAGAGTTTAGGGGGTTAGTCAGACTGCATTCCTCTTGCAGAAAATAGTAGGTACCACATTTAACCACCTTACAGTCCCAAGTAATCTTTGATGAGCTTTCTTCTGCCATTTCTATCAACAGACCTCCTAAAATAGTGGTGTAAATGGCTTTATAGAACTGAAGAATCAGATCTTGTAATGCAAAACATGTGCTGCCACTACTGTGTTTTGTGTGGGATTCTGGATTAGGGTATGAGTTTTATTCCCTCATAGCCTGGAAACCAGTGTGAATTCAAGGAGTTCTTACCTATATTCAGAATTTAAAAACTCAGAGTACTGGAAAACTCTCTTTGGGTGTCAAACCACCAAACATATCTCCCTGACATACAGACTTATTAAGTAAAAAACAAGCACATTAAACACAGATATAATTTATTTTCAGTCTTATTAAAAAGTAGTAAAAGTATTATATTTGCATTTTAGACTTTCCTGTGTCTAAATAACATACAGTTTTTCTTGTACAATATACCTGATTTTCAGAGAGCCACAAAGCCTTGAGGTTCAGTCCAGTTACAGTAATAGGAAGAAACTGAAGCCTGAAAGAAAATAACATGTGCATGGAATATATATATATAACTCTTTAAATTTTTACCATGTTTAATAAACATTGTAATAGAGAGAAACAATAAAAAAGCTTTTGAAGGTCTGCAAGTAGTTGTTTTATAAGCAGTAATTAAAACCAAGTTAACCATATATGCATGGGTGGGAGTCACAGTGAACAACTCATGACCTTTTACAGAGTGTCATTCAACATAGCATTATGTATTCTACGTCAGAGTTATCAAATAGTCATTTTAACATACATTGCTGATTTATAGTAGAGAAGAGTAAATAATAGATGCAATATATAAGGATGCTGAAAGAAAACCCTGTAGATTTGCATTTTGGAGGTTCTAGAGGATATACAAGTACAATATTCAAACTACATGATGGACAAAATTATCTTTATTCTTCTATTAACATCACCTTGCACTCAGACTTTTTAAAGTCTGAGCCAGGTTGATGTTGTCAACAAAGATATTTGTCCTCAAGATATGTCTGTATACTGACATATCTTGAGAACAAATATCTTTATAGCTCATCTGATTTTTTATGTACAACACAACTGAAAATTTTACTAAAAGCTTGCCAAATTTTGTGTACATAATACATGTATAAATTTGTAACTATATTCAATATTCCTTCTCCAGTATGGAGTCAGTTCAAGGGATCTACCCAATGCACATTGGGTTAAATAATACATCTGATTATCTCATGCAAAATATTAATTTCAAAGATTCATTATATTTATAATTAGTGGAGCGAGCAAAACTAATGAAACAGTATTTTCTTTAAAAACAAGTAAATACTTTGTATATAATTTACAATTATAAAAAACATGGAATTCATCATGAAATATCTAATGTTGTTCTACCAATAAAAATTTGCACAAAAATTAAGTATGCTGTCACTTAAGAAAAATCAATGAAGAGAGACACCAAAGTCTTATGGATGGTATAAATATGCCAATTTTCACAATTTTAAGCTAAAATATTCATATTACTGGAGTAACAAATTCACTTATTCGTAAATTTAGATATAATAATAATAAAAATAATAACTTGTACGAAGATGCAAGGCACTGGAATAGAAACTAGGTTGCTAAAGGAAAATTTTATATACCAAAGTTAATTCCTACTATTTCTTACTGTAAAATTGTAAGCAGTTTTATATATCTCTTCAACAGATATAATTTAGTAAGATGTAATTTTAGATATAATTCTGTTTAAAATTTTGTGACGTCTTAAACAAAATCTCTTACAGTCAAAAACAGTTTATAAAATATTGTAAAACTAAAGGTATGAAACTTTTTCTGAAGAATCCTTATTTAAAGTAGCTTAAAAGCACATGCACACAAATATATAGATATATCTATATCAGTATATAATCATTCACAAATAAAATATTTCACCTTTCTCTATCTTGAAACAATACTAGTTTCCAATGTTAAAAAATACATTAAATTTATACAAAATCTAATCAGCAAATGTATGAATGTAAGAGAAAATTCACTGGTTAATCTTTGATAAGGAGATGGCTTACATTACCATACATATTTCACCAATATTTCTTTGACAATTTAAGAACATAAGAGGAAGATTATGAGTAAGAGAGAGGATGGGCCTTAAATGCTGTTTGAATGATTATTAATGATGCAATTTTATTATTATTGCCTAAGATTATTTGGAGCTTTCTAAAAAACCAATAAAATGATGAGAATTGTAAAAGTATGGAACTATAATTTAGTTACTAATTATTTTATATAGCCTTAGTCATAGTTTTTAAATTTTATAAGAAAAACTTATGGTTAAAGAAATTCATATTAATAATGAGAAAAAATCTCTATTTTTCTCTCACTTAAGTATTTTTCAGTGAAATGGAGTCAAAATATTATTAAAACAATTATTAGCACAAGATATTACTTTTCTAAGAATCTTTGAAAGTTGCTCCTATTAACAAAGATGTCTGCTTAATCAGAATGTTTTATTTTCAGAAAGCAATCTTATTTTGCTACCTTGTGAAGAAAACTACCTAATTATTCAAACTTTATATATCACATTGATTATGGTTAATTTTATAATTTGTTTTTTAACTTACACAATAAATACATGTTTATAGACTTTCCTTATCACTGAATCAAACTACATACAACAGATTCAATAAGTTTTGATAAAAAATTATTGCTTAAAATTATGAAATTATGCAAGTCTCATGCAATTATATATGTAAGAATAACTTAAAACTTTCTGATATTTTTGTTATCAAACTAAAAATCTTTCTCATCAAAATTCAAAGCAAACTTACTTGTTTCCACAGACATCTAAAACACGTAGTTCTTTTAACATTCCCATTTCAACAGGAAGGTGACTGAGGAGGTTATCTCGGAGAGAGAGGACTCCTAAGTGAACTAGATTACCTATTTGTGAAGGAAGCTTGGTAAGTCTGTTTCTGTCAAAGTTAAGGTTTGTCACATTAACAAGGTTTCCTATTGAAGATGGAAGATCAGATAGTAAATTTTCTGTGAATATCATTTCTTGAAGGCTTTCACATTTTCCTATACCTGAAGGTAGGGCAGTGATTCTGTTCTGATCTGCCTAGAAAAAAAAATGGTTGTCTTCATACATTTTGGACAAATGATTTACTGATTTGTTGTTAAAAATGATTAGAGTATGCCATGAAAACTTTTTAGAAAGCACTCTGTAAAACACTAACTCAAGTACTTGGTTTAAGGGAAAAAGACAGTAGAAAAAATATCTAAACATCCAATATCACCAGGTTGAAGGTGCACTGAATAACAAGGAATTCTACAAAAGTGAAAACAGAATTTATAAGTGAAAGTTGCAATAACATCCAACATAGATTTATCAAAATTAAACATATGCAAGAAATATTTGTAGCTTGCAGCTCAATTGTGCATACTAAAGAGTTGAAAAAGTATGAAAGATGGGCCACAAATAGCAAACCATACTTGTTAAGGCCAAGTTTTTAAATCAAAGTTACTTATCTAATTTTGTAAAGGTTAATTATGTTTTCTATGTTCAGAATTTTTACTTTTGTAAAGTTAAAAACAGATTTTAATAAATTTTATATGTTCAGTTATTCAGGTTAAAAGACCGTGCCTGATTCCCTTTAGAAAGCACCCAAAGGAAGACCATGGGGTGTGCGAATTAATGGAAAGCAACCCCCCCATGGGAGACCGCACCACTTCTGAGCCAGATGTATTCTTTGCCCACATGAAAACATGTTACAATAAAGTGGAAACAATGGAAAGACCTACTTCGCATTATCATGTGTGCACATTCAACACAACCATCACCATATTTACCCGGGGACAGTAGGAAGGTGGATAGCAAAGTGGGGGTGCATTTTCAGTCCAAAACAGATGGCATTGAGAATGTATTGTCCAGTCTGCAGTAGGAGGAGGGCACCTGGCAATATAAGTATGAAATTCAGGGACCCCCATGGTAGAGTGGCTAGGGTGCTTTGGACTGTAAATGGAAAGTCTACCTCAACCAACACCAAGCGAACTATGATAGGGATATCTAGCTCTTACAGTAAGAAGAGGTACCTCTACCTTTCACCACAGATACTGGAACTGAGAAGGAAGAGGAGTCTCCCTATTAAGGATCCATCTCAGCATGTGAGCATATCAAACACAACTATCTCCATATCTGCTGGGAACCAACATCCATGGTTTGTAGGAAGGTGGAGAGCAAAGTGGGGGTGCATCTCCAATCCATCACCAGGTAGTATTGGGAATGTATCGTCCAGTTTGTGGTAAGAGGAGGGTACCCTGTCACTCACATGCGAGTATTCATGTAGCTAGTCCAGCTACAACTATTACCATATTCATTGGGAACCAAAGTCCAGAGGATAGTAGTAAGAGGGACAGTAAAGTTGGGTGCATGCCAAGTCCATCACCAGGCAGCATTGGGAAGGTATCATCCAGTCCACAGTAAAAGGTACCCAGCCACACACATATGAGGTCTTACATGGCTGATCCATTTCCAACCATCACCATACCTGTGGGGAAGGTAGTGTAGGGGGAAGGAGAGTGTCCCAGTCGGAGGGGTAAATCGCATGTTAGTAGAATGCATCATCCAAAACCTGGATGCCACCTATACTGACAGAACCCTACTGCTCTACTCTCAATTGAGCAGAATTGAGCACACTCAGAAGGAAGCCTCTAAGGTCTACCACTCCAGCAGCTAGGAACTGGTAAGTGGCAAGGACTTCCATGGTCTATTAGAAGAATAGTAGAAACAGCACAAAGAGTCCAGAGGAATGCTGCACTGGAGAGAGTGTAATGAGTGACCACGATACCTTATTTTGAAAAGCAGGCTGATCCTGTGACCTACAATACTTGGATCATCTGGGCTGGGCAGGAATCCCTGTCTCCTTTACACATGTTAGTCAATGACTGTATGGTTGGGGAGAAACATCTTTTTGAAGCAAAATATCACAAAGTTTACCCACTAGCGGTCTTTCAGAACATCACATATCAACAGTGGGCTTATAGGATATGCATGTCTTACAGTGAGGATTTCAAAATAAGTATGCCTGGTCAGGCAACACTCACCACAGAGTGGGATCCAAATATGCAACTAAGACTCCTGCAAGAAAAAAGAAGGTATGGGGGAATGGACCAAATATTGGAACTAAAGATATTTTCCATAGGATGATGGAAATGATCAGCCATGGACATGGTAAGGTGACAGATTTGATGGAAAGAAATACAGAAGACTACAATCATCAGGAGAAACAGAAGAATAAGCCAGGCAAATCAACTGGCAAATGCAATCCATAAGCATAACTGGGAAAAGGTCAAGGGACTGGGAAGGTTTCCAAGGAATAAACAATGGGAGAGAAAACCATGGAAGGAATCAGAGCATACCCCATAACAGTGGAGAGTCCAGAATGTACAGAGGAGGCAATCAGGATCCAAATGGTCATTAATATTGATAAGGAAGGTAGATGGGTGTGAGGGAAGAACTACCCACCTGACCAACTGAAATGTTGGGCAGAAAGGACAATCTGAGAAAATAACTACATCAGAAAATCTTGTGGGTCCAGTGACCACTCCATAGGGAGAATCCTGTCAGGACGTGATAAGCAATCCACAATGAGAATCGGGACTCCCAGGGACTGAAAAGGAGAGAGGACTCTGAGAAATTCCACCATCACAAGACCTTCTGAGCAACAAGCTAAGCACCCCAACCAGAAAAGGAAGCATCTGTAAAAGGTGATGTTCCAGTTGAGGAAGAAGAGGAACACATATAGGAGTGTTTTCTCAATTCAACCACCAGATGAAGTTGGTCGGTGAGGAAGGATGAGAGAGGCATCCAAAGGATCCTGAACGAAGTTCCTCTGAACCCACAAAACTCACTGAAGGCAACACATGTGGTCATGACCAAAAGGATGAGGGCTTCCTGAGAAGCGCACTTCCCAAAAAGAGAGAGAACTTCTCACACCATGGGAGAAGGAGAAGAGTAGAGCTGCAAACTAGAAGCACCATAGCCTTCAACCAAAGGAGAGAAGTTTGGGCCTGATTGAGAATGGAATGAAACAACACCCCAAGATGAAGTTGGTAGAGTGTGAGGGTGAGAAAAACGTCTCCACCTGCACCAACCAACCCAAGCTACTGCTTTTAGAAGAAATGGAGTGTGAAAGGCAGATTTGGCCTTTGAGGAAGCTAGAAGAAGGTCGTCAACCATTTAGTAGTAGAAATGAAGGCCCAGTAAATAAAAAAAGATGGACAAACAACCAGACCACCCAAGAAAATACATAGGGAGCTGAGACAAGTTCGAACAGAAGAACCCAGACTGAAACATACACCCGATGGACAAAACGTAAATAAAGTTGGGATGTAAGAGATATGTGAATGTGTAGGTATGCATCTGATACATAAACCGTCGTCATCTACAAACCAGAAGGGAAAACCCAATGAAGGGCTAAGTACAACTCCACGGTGAAACATGGGAGGACCAAGAAATGGTTCAGAGATGACATGTTGACGATAGAGCACCAGTTCACATTTTTAAAATCAGGCTGTTTGGTTTCCTCATAATCTCAGTCGAATATATGTTCCAAGTACTTTGATTTGTTTGTTTGTTTCAAAGAAAAGTCACATTGAACTATCTTTTATGTCCACTACATGGAATCGAACCCCATAATTGAGCATTGTAAGTCCGTAAACTTACTGCAGTCCCATAGGTGACCTTACAAAAGACATAGGGCTGGTGCTGTCAAACTCTATATGGTAGCCCAATTTCCTCTGGACAGAATGTCAGTCTATTGCAGCTCAACCCTGAACTAAGAGCTGGTACCCAACATACAGGTGGATAGACTGGAACAAGTGGATTAAAATTCTTACTCACATACACAACAGTATAATGTACTAGCCTCGAACTCGCGACCATAGGACTACAAGCAAGCAAAACAGCTGTAGTAGTTACAGCATCTGTGGTAGATGCCACATGGAATTGTGGGTATGTGTGATGAATGGAGATGACTGGGAAAAAGAAAAATTTTATCTCCAAAAAAGAATTCGAAAAAAATCATAGCTGAGAAAAACATTTTCATGGCCAAAATATTTAATCCATTAACTTGAGCAAATAAGAAAAAAATCAGTCAGAAAACACAAGCAAAAACACGTCAAAACAGTAGGACTGCCAACCAAGAAGTGATTAAGAGCTGCACAGAAGAGAGGGCATTAGCAATGATCGGAGTTGTGTTGCACACCTATTGGTGGAAGTTTGAAGTATGACTGCATGCAGAAATCTCATGTGAATACATATGAGGGTAGGCAGGAGTATCAACACTAGTGGCAAGCAAAAGTTTGTGCTTACAGAGAGCGGTATAAGTTGAGAAAAGCTATTTGTAAGTGGAGGTAAAATATCAGATCAGAAACTAAAGTTTAGATTACAATTGAAAATCTCAGTAAATTGAATGTATATAAGAAAAATTAACATGTCCATTCAATGTAATGCTGAGGAAAAGAATGAGGTTATCTTGAGTGCAAGTGCTTAGGGAGATCTACTGCACATGGAGGTTGTGTTGCCCTCTTATTGATGGAGGACTTTTGTCGTATAATGACACCATCATGCACCAGCACAGTTCATGTTAGACACATGGATGTAGGTGGGAGTTGGCCAAAGGCTAGTGGCATGCAAGTCTTTTAGGCAGATGCACAAAGAATATAGCTGTTCTGTGTGTGAAGGTATGTACTGAAAATACATTTTCAGATTAGAAAGATTAGAAAGTAAAAATTCTGAACATAGAAAACATAATTAACCTTTACAAAGTTAAATAAGTAACTTTGATTTAAAAACTTCGCCTTAACAAGTATGGTTTGCTATTTGTGGCCCATCTTTCATACTTTTTCAACTCTTTAGTCATGCACACTTGAGCTGCAAACTACAAATATTTTCTGCATATGTTTAATTTTGATAAATCTGTGTTGAATGTTATTGCAACTTCCATTTATAAATTTCACTAATATAGCTATTCTGTGTGAAGAGGTGAGATATCATCTCAGAAGAGACTTAATAAACAGTCTGAAGTGCAATAATCATATTTTGTTGAAATAAATTTAACTAATTTTTCATCAAATTTAGCATCCGATTTTAACTCACAGTCTCTTATCAGTTAAACCCCCCCAGTAGCACAGCAGTATGTCTGCAGTCTTATACCACTAGAAACCAGGTTTGATACCTGTGGTGGGCAGAGAATAGATAGACCTTAGTGTAGCTTTATGCTTAATAAGAAAGAGCAACAACAACAAACTTATCAGCTAAAACTAAGATCTTAGGAAGAAAAATTATAAAAAGAAAACTTAGAAAATTTTTGTAATGCATTTTTATGACATTCTATTACAATTAATATACTGCCAACAACAGAGGAACCATTATTTTGTCAAGACTTTTTTATACAGTTAATTTATTTCACAATTTACAAATGTATTTCTCATTAACATTAACTTCTGATAAAAGCAAGCTATCTACTCAGATCAAAACTAAAAAGCAATCCAGTGATGAGTATAGCTAATCAAGTATACTTTCTTTACATTCTTATTTATAAAAATTTGAATGTACACTTATCTTTATTTGATTACCCCAATGAATTTTTTTATCTAGAGTATGGTAAACCCACTGAAGTATAGTTTTTAAACCATGTCTTTCTGATTTTATCATTCAAAAAATTTTTTTTAAACCAAGACAATTAATACCTTTGCTTAAAATAAAAAGCGTTTCTTTTTTTTTCTCTACACTTAAAGAAAATTCATCTTTAAATCTTGTCCAAATGCTCAGGATATACATTCACTATGTTTTAATATCTAACAACGAAGAAACAATGCTATGTCAAACAAATTCTTAGAATTATCACAGTGGTAAAGCATAAAATGGTTATCACTGGAAATTTCTTTAAATTTTATTTAGAGTTTACTTTTTAAAACAAACCTCTATAGTTTCAAAATTAAGAAATAATGAATGGGCATTAAAAAAAAAACACTTCTTCATTTTATAACTCTGGCAGGGAAGCAAGGACACTGTCAACCTCAAGACCTTGCCTGCAATCTACATAACTTAAAGTCATTTGAACCACTAAGTACTTTTGGTGGTTTGAATTCACTATGTCTTCCTGATCAACATCATGTGTGAAGTGTCAGGTGGTGTACCTAACAAACATATAGTTAGTCAAGTGCAGAATCATGTCCATGTGAACCCATGGTCCTAGTATGCTTATAAAGTTAATGTGTAACTAGCTGTACCAGGATATTACTATTTTGAATAAAAAAGGGTGAGTGACTTGGGCTCAAAGATAGTGACCTACAAGAGATTATTAAACAACAACAAGACCTAGAAAGAGCAGAGTGTCAAAAGAGAAAAGAAGAAGAGAGAATAAGAATACAAATTGAGAAAGGAGAGACTAGACACAAAGAGAGAGAGAGAATGAGAGTACAAATTATAAAAGAAGAAAAGAAGAGAGAGGACAGACTGGAATCAGAGAGAATAAGAATACAAATTGAGAAAAGACACAGTGAAAATAGAGAGGGAGAGGGAGAATAAGAGCACAAATTAAGAAAGAAGAGAAGATGAGAGTACAAATTGAGATTGCGAAGCTCACCCAACAGAAAGATGACAAGGAGGACCCAAGAAGGTGACAAGAAGTCAACAGACAAATGGGAGAAGAGATGCTTTCCACAATTCACACCAAGGATAACTTATTACAACCATAAATAAGAAGTAGAAATTACCAACAATAATTAAAAAAAACAGTATTTTACCATATTAATTCACCACTCTACAAGACTATTTATCAAGTTTATTGAAAATCTATTTATTTCTTTATCATAGTAAAATGAACAAGTACAAAAATTCTACATTTTAAATGGTTGAGAAGATTTGGTAGTATCAGTTTTCACAGTGTGTGTTTCTTACCTTTAAGATAGTTAGTTTACTAAGCTCACTAAAACTCTCTGGCAGACTTTCAAGACAGTTCTGTGACAAGTGTAAGTCAGCAAGGCTCTCTAATCCTGCTATTGCTTCAGGTAAGAAATCCAGTCTATTTTCACTAATATCTAAACAACTAAGTTTTTTCAGATTTTTTATCTCCTGTAAATGAATAAATAGGAAATTGCATAAAATCCAGAAAGCTTATAGTGTGGCAAGTATAATAACAAAATATAAAAAAACAGAGGATATTAGACAATGAAATCTCCCTAAACATTAAAAAATAAGTTTTGCATAATGAATGTGCAATTATCAAATAATTAAATCTTTCTCTTTGTAAAAAGGGAAAGTTAATGAAAAGTTAAATGTAACGGTTATATCAAAAATCCTTCAAAGTGTAAATGCTTTGTCACCTGAAAACTAAAACTAGCAGCCTTAGATGTTTTGAGTGCTTGAAACAATCTTATTCTGTATATTTGTAAAATGACTAACATGTTACTAAGTGGCACTCTGTGCTATAAAAGAACAAATAGTTATTTTGGTTGAAATTATAGTTAGAATGGCAGGATATACGAAATCACTAAGTAATATACAGGCATTGAGATTAGTTGCATTTTCAATGTGATATTTATAACATTAGAAGGCTAATGACAAAAAGAACACAGACTTTTTTGGGGATTTAATATTCTTTCTAAAAGCTTTCAGCTCCTCTCTTTGAACAGCTAGTGGACAGAGATAGCTTCAGGGGAAAGTGAAAGCTTGCTAGAATAAATGTATAGACACAGAGTAACAGTTGTTACTACTGCGAAAAAAATATATACATAATTACTATCTTCTCACCTTTGGTACAGTAGTGAGTCGATTACAGTCCAACCACAGTTCTTGAAGGCTACTCAACTGGCCAATAAGGGCTGGCTATAGTCAATTATAAAGAAAACCTTGGTAAGTTGAAAACCATGAAAAATACAAAAAACACCTAACTTTGATTTTTTATAGTTATATGATGCGTTTGTACTGTTAATAGATTTTTAGATATAAAATACAAAAATGTATGCCATAACTTAAGATACAACTGCTTCTTTTTCTTATCACCATCTACCCAAGTAAAAGACAAGTTCTGGGGTCATATGTGGATATAACCTAAGAATAGTGAATGTTTAACTGATTAACTTACCGACTTTATACTAGTAAAGGGAAATGAAAAAATGAAAGTTCACCAACTCTTAAAGAACATTGGTTGCATAAACAACTTATATTATAAAATACACTTCAGTTCTTGTAAGAACCTTTTTTTTTATATATATATGAGTATCATTAGGAATCAGGTTTAGCAGTCTTTAACTTCTTGAAAAAGTAAAATCTTCTTTTGCCAAGTAATTCTTAAAATTTTATTTTGCATTTAGTAAGAAATTATATGCAGTAGTTAAATTTATACAAATGCATTATCACATTACAGGACACATACACTCTATCATAAAAAATTACGAATTTCATATAATCTTTTGTGTGTAAAAATATCTAATTTTTTATCCATTTATATTTGATTGATTTATTGTACATTGTTATTGAGAAATCTCTATAAACCATGTATTACTGGAGTTAGTGTTAAAAAACCAAACTTATGAACACAATTGTTGAGGTATCCTCTTATTCAGCTCTACAAGAAAATATGAAATATTTATGAGAATGTTTAAGTTTTGATTGTGTCTGATTCAGATGAAATCAAACCTACTTTCTTTAAGTATTATTTGTAACTTTGAAATCATAATTACATGTGAATTTCCTTTGAACCTGTGTTTCTATAGCAACATAGATATGTTCTTCCATGATACAACAGAGAAGCATTCACACAGTGATTAATCTTTCCTTTAATTCAGCAAGAATTGAGAATGTTCCATTAATTTATTATTCATTACTAACTTTTTGAGAACATTTCTACTTTGTGTTCTGATCGCATAAGCAGAACACAAATGTTACATTTTTACCATTCCATTAGTATACAATGAATGCAAAATTTCCTACATGCAGATATACTAAACATACCTCATTGCATACAAAAAAAAAAGCTTCTACATAATTGTGTAACAGTTATTCATATTATTCTGTTGGTTCTAGAAATTTATCACTACAGCTTGATCTCTCCATAAAATACTATGACTGTTCTAGGGTAAGTTTCTGATCAAAGTTGTGGTGTGTCATCTCTGGCATATGATATACAATTCATTTTTATAAAATATTATTTGGTTTGTTTTATATAGCATAAAATTTTAAATTTGTTATGTTTTAATCCATATCACTATACACGAAAAAGGAATTAATGCATTGACTTAATGCAAAATATACTTCTTTCATCTAAAGGCCTAAACACAAAGATGAATAACACTATGCATGTTTCCTTTTTCTAATTTGATATACATTGAAGTACTAGCCTCAAATTATGATTGTGTGACTTTAACAATATATTTTGTTCAAATCTCTGCTACAATATTGGGAAAATGCAAATTATCTTTCTTTTCTTTTTTGTTTTTGAAGATCTTGACAATAATATATTAATAATTTTAAGGATAATTTTTTAGTTTTTATTTTTACAAGTCCTGTTAATTTATACAACTTTCACATTTGCTGTTCATGATAAAATATGTATTACAATCTATATGATTTTAAGTTCATTTTTCGGAGGAATATATATATATAGTTCAATCAATACTAAGAAAATCCTGAAAATCTATGTTAATTACTAATAAAATACCATTAAAGATTCATGTCAACTACTTTTAACTAGGAAATTAAATCAGATAGTTACTCACAAGCTCTTCAAATTCATTGCTACCAATATCAAGGCGTTCCAATTTGGTTAAGAAAGCAAAAGATGGTGGCAAATTCCTTAGAAGATTCTCTCTGAGCTCCAATGACTGAAGGTTGACCAAGCTGAACAAAGACAAGCAGAATATAAATAAGATATTGATTATATGTACACATATTCACAGATAAACATATATTGCAATGCCAAAATTACAGCCAGACCTAAAGATCATCTGAGACGATTCACCCAGCTCACTTTGCAAGAGATACCAGTGTGTATAAAAGCAAAGACAGACTAGATAGAAACATCAGTAATGGTAAATTCTGTACAAGATATCAAAATGTTGTGAATTTGAGGAAGAAAAGAATAAAGACTGCTGAAATTAGTTATAATTCTTGGTCAGCATGATACATTGTATCTGAGACCACTCAGTGTACTATTTTATAACAACATTCAGACTGGCTTAAACTATTGCTGATACTCAACGAACATTCACTTATAAATAGTTTCATTTTGAGTTTACTTACTGATTATAAGTATTATTTTATTACAAGTTACAGCTTTGACAGTAAAGAATAATATTTTTAACCCATTTACTGCAGCTGGGACGTATATTTCCCAGTGTTCCCCCCTCACCCTGTGACTGGGACAAATGTTTCCTATTGTTGATACTGTGTATACCTTCCTCTGCTGGATCCAGGTTCATCATCTTGACTATTATCACTAGATGGAGAGCTAGCATCCTCTTGTCTCATTTCCTCTTTATCATCACACATTTGAACACCACTTGACTCATTTTCAGTATATTTTAAGCTATCCGAGTCAAGAGCATCAAACATACTTACATAGTAATTAGGGTTACCACTCTTCAATCTAGTAATGCGGGCATGGTTGGCACACAGTTGTTGTACATTCTACTTACACATCTTGTTGGTTACTGAAAGGCTGAGTGGAAAACATTGAGGGGAAACCATATATCAACATTAGATGGGATGCCAATAAATACTTTCCAACTCATTTTACTCCCATACGTCACTTACAGCAATTCTGAATGACAGTGGGAAACATTTGTGTCAGTCCAAGTGCAAGGGGTGGGAGCACTGGGAAATATACATCCCAACCATAGTGGAAAGGTTAAAATAGGTATGACATTTCAGTCACTGGTGCAATCATTCTCAAGTATAAAATTTTAATGGTAACAGGCAGATAATTAACTTGACAGTGACTAAAAGTTTATGGTAGGGGGTGTTACAGTGTAAGATGCATTTAGCATACTGGATGGAATGTATGAGCAGTGTCAGCTTGTATACATGTTCATGACTATCTGGACTATCTCAAATAAATATGTTCCAGTGTCCACAGCTTAGTGTTTTGGTCAGCAGGCCAATGTGCTACTTTTGCTGGACATTGTTCCCTACCACAAAGCACATTCAACCTATGCTTGGCTCCAAAGCATCAAATACAAACATCTTTGATTGACCCACTCAAAACCCACATATATACTCTTCAGAAAATCTCTGAGACCATCTGGAGAGGTTAATTTAAAAGGCTAGATCACAGACTTCCAGTTGTTTCCAAACAGAAGCTTTTGAAATAACAATGGAGAAAAATTGAACCAGACACTTGACCAGATCTAGTTGAAAGTATATCTCATAGAAAAGCAAGTTTTATTTAGGATAAGAATTATGCTATGACTAAGTTTTGATACTTTTAGCAGAGGAGGAAGTGTTTCATCTCCAAGAGGATCTGGTGCACTCTCAAAAGGTTCTTGCTAGAGCAAGAAATTATGTGCCAGACCACAATGACAATTTGTAAATCAACTTCTGCTGAGCTGCAGAATTGTATATATAGAGTAATGATTTTTGTACACATTTAAGTTTATTTTATTTAATTTTTGGACAGTGTGAATAAGTATATCATATGTTTACTGTTTTAGGTTTTCTTTTGGTTTGTATAGTATACATATGGTTTTTTTTGTGTTTAAGTTTTTTTGAGTACATACTTTTTGTTACTTTCTATGATTATGTTTCCTCTGATTATGTTAAAGGTTTTGCACTGATTGAAAAGGGTTAACTTTATCTTTAATGCTGTCTGTTCTACTTAATATAGATTGTTTTCTATACATTTTATGTATTTCATCTTTCCTTGTTGATAAACTCAGCCAGAGTTGTTTTAAAGACAGACACATATCCATAGTCTATGGCAATATTCTCCAAACCTCCTTTTAGCAGGTCCTAACAAACTATTCTGTGGGAAAATAGGTGCCAAAAAATGTCACATTTGGATGATGAAAGCTGATATAGCTTGAAATTAGAGAACAATGGTGCATTGAACTTGAGAGAGAGAGAGCAAACAAAGAGATGATAGTATTATATTCCAAGTTCTATAATACTGTTCCCTCTAAGATGCCAATGCTACCTATGTCCTGTTGGTCAATCCCATTGAAACATAAGGAAGGACATAACCTCAAGATATTGCCTGACCTACCATTGGAGGATACTGTTGTCTGCATTCTTCCACAAAGTGTAGCTATACAGTTATACCTCCCATGAGAAGACCAGGTGTTATCTCCAAAGGAATGACAAAGAATAAAGATAGCTAGAAAAAATCAACTTAATCACTTTTTTGACCACTTGTTATGTGAAAAATTTAAATATCTAGAATAAAAGAAAAATGTTGAAAAATTCTTGATTCAAATAAAGTAGAAAATGCAGGATATGCCTACATACCATAAAGAAAATTATTAAAGAAAATTCCATTATATTGTTTTCCTTTTCAAATTAAGATTCATTTGAAATCTAAATGACAAGATTTTGTTAGTCATCTATACCATTCACTACAAAGAAACTAATCACTTAAGAAGCTAATGCATAGAGGAATATTATACAGCTATAATGCTTAAAAACTTACTTTCCAATGTCATTGGGCAACTGTACAATTGACACATCATTAAGGCTTACAGCTTTCAAGTTTTTCAACTGGGTTAAGGCTGTAGGAATTCTAAAAAATGTTTAAAACAAGATATAAGATTATGAAACACAATTTGTATTTTGTTTTTAAATTATAAAGTGACTATATGTTAAAACTCTAAACTTAATATTTTCCAGCTTTATCCCAACGAAAGTTTCTCTTCTCTGCTCATCTAAGCATTGGTATGAATCTTAACTCGCTCCAGCCTTTATACCAAACTATATTGCTCAAACAAGTTAAATCTAGTGATTCTCTTCACCTACATCAGTGCATCACATATCCCAGATTCATATATAAGTTTCCCATTATTAATTCTTATTCACTTTTCGAAACGGTCCAAATTAGCGGACCCGAACACAGGCCATTTTGTGGGAAGGAAGGGCAGAAGAGTGAGAGAAGAGGTAGGTATTATCAGATATACATTTTTGGTACAGGAAAATGATAACTTAAAACACACTTACTTCCTCTCACACTATAGGTAGAATCCAATATTGACAAAGTGGAGGGGCCAGTGAGGGCAAGATCCACACAGAAAGCATCTGCGTAGAAAATATGTGTGCGAAAATGAGATATAGTGGGGTTTGAACTACTTCTGAAACAGGTATGCTTATCACTCATACAACATGAAATCTAATTCGTGGGAGGTAAAGGCTGACCAGCCACAGAGGCACAACCCTTGTTAGAAGAAAACATGAATTTAGTACTTAACACACAGGATTTGTCCAAGCCCCAACCAGTCAGACAAAGTCCCATATCTTGTCATTGGAATTATAAGGCTATGGACCCAAAGCTAGATCCAAGGCATAGTGACTAGGATATGAGGACCACTTTTTTATTTGTTCTTGTTTTGTAATGTGGTATTATTGGAACCCAACCTTAAAGTTACAGAATGTTGCATGTTGAGCCACTGGAATTATGAAGAGAAGGCAAGTAACACAAAAATGGACAAACCCTCAGCCCAACATGAAGAAGCACAAAATGCAACTAACAGAACTTGGGATTATTGGATCTGTCAAATCTCACTCAACAGAGAAGAAACAGAAATTACCCAGCCTGTGATTATGAACAGAAACCTTAAATCCCCAACCTGAGAGGAAAGGCAACACTTCCTGTCATCAGAATTACGAGGAGGATTTGGAACAAATTAAGTCCAAACAATGACACAGGAATTGATGCTCCACGTGCAGAATTATGAGGAGTCAAAGACCTTCTTCCATGATCACCGAAATGAAGATAATGACCAAAAAAGAAGAGCCACACTCATCTCAACTGGATAGTGAAGAGACATCTCTGAACCAGAATTACAAGGAGGCTCCTGCATAGGCTGGTCCTTCTACCACCATACATTTGTGAAAACCATCCAGAATTATTGGTAGGAGGGCACCAAGCTTTGCCCTCTTCTCCGTTAGTGGAATAATGAGTTCAAGCATCACCCCAGTGACTGGAAACTGGGAGTAGTAAGGATTCCCATACTCCACTAGGAAAAATGGGGGGGATACTCACATTGGGAAATTCTGAGGAACAATACTCCTGAGACAGTGCAATAGGTAAACTAAATTCCTTATTTTGAAAAGCAAACCAACCCAATTTATTCAATCTAGGAGTCAGCAGGGATGGGCAAAATCTCCTTAGGTTTACTCATGATAGTCCTAGAGTGGTCATCCAAAAGCATATTTATCTTTGTGTTATAATTGTTTACCACCAGAAAAGTCCACAAGGTGGTCTTATAGAACACCCCATCTCAACAGAGCTCGTTGCTACCAGGAATATTTTTATTGGTTGACTCGTAGCTAGTGTGGATATGGAAGGAAGCATAACTGACTAGGCAACACTCCCTACTGAGTGGGATCCAAATAAAAATAACAAAAGGGTTCTTGAAAAAGATGAGAAATAAATACAAAATAAATGAAGGAACTCACCACTCTCACAAACTAACCAGGGTGTGGAGAATAGCCATAGGGGGTAGCCAAAAACCTTTCGAGGAGATAACCATCAAATCATGTATATAATGATATATAAATATATTAGGTGTGGTCCACACACCAGCCTGTACAACATCCTCCAGTGCAATTGAGCCATCAGGGACATCGAGATATGGCAAACTTTATGAGAGGAGACCTGAACAAGTTTCCACTCCTCCAATGAAAACCCAGAGTAAGCAATACGAATCAAATCATGATCCCGACCTGTTAAAGTGAATGAGGATAAGTCATGTGATGCATCTTAGGATCCCAATGGAGAAACAAATAGTGATGTGCACCCCAAAACCCTTTAGTGCATGCAATATAACATTGGAAAGCCTGAACTGAGCATAAAAGACAATCCAGATCTGAGTGGTCATAAAAATAAGAAATGGAGGGAAAATGAATAGGAATGAAAGTCTTATCTCCTCTAGCCATTAAGTTTTGGGTAGAAAGGACTTATCAGGATACAAGAACATAAATGGAATGGCAAAGGATCCTGTGGACATAAACTGCAAACACAACCAAACGTCAACAGCCACTAGCCAACAACAGAAGAAAATAAGTCTTAAGATAAAATTAACATGGGGAACATGACACCAAAGGTTCAAAGGGAGGATGAAATAAGGCATGGAGAACCACTGTGATATCCCCATTTGAAACCTGGAAAGGATGTCAAGGATGAATAACTGAAAAGATTTCAGAAGAAAGGACAAAACCGGGGACTCAAAAACTTTACGTTTCCTAAAAAGTAGAAGTAGCTGACAAAGCTGCCTTATACAGAGAAATGAATGAAGGCACCAAACCTTTGTCGATTAAACATGTCATAAATTGAGAAAAATGCGACACAGTGGGACGAGAAGGATTAAAACATGTCTGAGACCACTGATGATAAATCAACCATTTTCTTTGATAAATGTTCCATGAAGAATGCTAAATATACCATGTTAAGAAAGATGCCACCTGATAGGTCAATCCCTGATGTCGTGCAATGGACTGCATAAAATCTAGGCATGAAGCTGAAGAATGGTGATCGCCAGATGAAAAATGTCCGACTGAGGCTGATGTAAGAGAGATGGCCAGAGAAGCAGTGGAAGAGGTTGGCACTCCTGAAGATACTGAAGAAGTGGAAACCAAGGCTGACCCAGCCAATGTGGCACCACCAGAAGAATTTGACAGGAGGAGGAGCAAATCAGTGCTAGAACTTTGGATAACAGATGATTCAGAGGAAATGTGTAAAGATGAAGGCCCATCCAATCCTGGCTAAAAGTATCTAAGCCCAAAACCTGACAGTGAGGTACAGGAGACCAGAAGAACAGGAGCTGGGCATTTTAGTGTGTGGAAAAAGCATAGATCTGAGGAGTCCCGAGACAAAAGCAAGTCTAACAGAAAACTTTTGGATGAAGTATCCATTCCATGGAAAGAACTCTGAGGGGACTAGATAAGTGATTAGCCACTACATTCATTACATCTGGAACATGACAAGCAAGTAGAACAATCTAATGATTGTGGACCCAAAAGAGAAGATCCAATGTTTGAAAACAAAGAGACCTGGAATGAGTGCTCCCCTTGTTTGGAGATGTAGGAGACCACAGTGGAATTGTCCAAGTGAAGCATTACCACTTTCTCTTGCAACAAAGCAAGAACCAGAGACATAGCTCATTGAACTGCTAGAAGCTCTAAGAGCTTGATGTGGAGAGGAGATTCCTTGTCTGTCCAGAGGCCTTTGAATTCCATATCCCTTATATCTGGGGGTGGGAGAGGGAGATCTACTGTCATGTTGTCTCTGTCCAACCACTGGCCAAGATTGAGCAGGCTAGAAGGCGATAGGGCCACTGTACAATCCAGTGCATCCATTAAAATGTTCCATTGGTCTCTCCAAGGCTCATGGGTAGCTGTCTGAGTAAAGGAAGGTGCCAGAAAAATGAGGTCCAAATTCTTAAAAGTCCCCCCCCCATCCTCCACAAGCTTAGAGAAAAACAGACCTCACATATGACTCCACCTCTCTGTGTATGAAAGACTGGACATCCTCCATGGAAAGAGATCCTCCGACACCCTGGTAACACTTGACTTCAGAGGTGGCAGAGTAGGAGCACTAGGTGACTCTATGTCAGAGATATGAATTTGTGAATTCATATCTGAAAATGTCTCAGAATTTTTTTGTAAAAGAAAGAAAATGGTCAATAAACTCAAGACCAAAAAAGACAGATCTAAAAAAAAATAAATAATAATTCAGAGCATAGTTAATAGCCATACAACACTAAAGAGAAACCCACAGCAAGCACGCAAAGCCATTGTTGTAACATTCTGCCATCAAGAAAAGTGAATAGGAAGTAATAATGGGAGCTTATATACAAATCTGGGATAGGAAGCACTTTGACATAGGTGGAGAAAATCATAAGATTTAACTGCTTTGGGCAATATAGTGGGGTATAAAGGCTGGAACAAGTGAGGTGTGATTCATACCAATGCTTAGATGGGCAGAGAAGAGAAATTTTCCTCAGGAGAAAGCTATAGTGTGAAAAGAAGCAAGAATGTTTCAGAATATGATCTTCAATATGAAGAAAGCATAATCAGTCAATCACCGAGTTTTCTCAAGCACATACTCCTTTCATGGAATTCATAGACATGTACAAAGTTGAACATAAATTTAGGTTACACTGAACACACTTTACCCTTACAAATTAATTTCTCTTTTATATTCATTGAAACATGCATCAAACCTACAAACATCACATATAAGTATCAGTAGACAAAACTGTTAAAATAATTGTTAAACATTATTTTGAAAACATTCTAATGCAAGCAAAAGTGCAGCTTTTTTATATTAAAAGTCTTAAAATTCCAATAATTTGTAGAATAATATTAATTAAAACATTTTAAATGTATTATTGTACACTGAAACATCCTTGTTTTAATTTACTTGCTCTTCTATTACTTTTTAAAGGCCAAATACAGAAAAAAATTAACAATTACTCAACATTAAAGGGTGTTTTAAGAGCAAAGCGTGGACACAAAAATAGGAAAGTATTATCAGTAAAGATGCATTAAATATTCTAGAATACATAATTTGTTTAACAGTTTATAAAAGTCGAGGTGTTTTTATAGTGATACTCAGTTAAACATAAAATCAGAAAAATATAATTTATTCCATAAGAATTACATGAAAATAATAAAAATGTTTTAGAATCAATAAGGTATTAACATCTTAAATGTTAATTATGTTTGTCTTTACTCAAAGAAATTCTAAAACATGTTATTAGATGACTATATGAAACATATTTTGTAAACGAATAACAAACTTAGAATGACAGGTCTTATATATATATATATATATATATATATATATATATTATGTAGTAATATCACAATATATTTATTTCTCTACTAGTTAAATTTACTATTTAGTATTACAACTAATTAAAGTTTACTACTTACCTTACTTA